CGGTCCAGCCAGCAGCCAGCCTAAAGTATTGGGGGAGTGCGGGAAAAGCCGTGCTCGCGTGCTCTCTCCGTCGGTGCTGTACTGCACCGCGCCCCGAGGCGACGGGCCCCATGCCCCGCGTCGCGCCGCGCCCTGACAACGCAGCGCCGCCGCGCTGCGTTGCGCTGGGCCGCACCGCGCCGCGCTAGGGTTCAGTTTTATGACGCTGGGCCGCACCGCGCCGCGCTGGCGTTAGGTTTTATGACCTTGTCGATTTTCCGCTAACGCTATATGACAATCACTACGTGATGGACGCCCAGTGTCTTCAAAAGTGGTTAAGGTAAAAGTGGTTAAGATATTGGTCAGAGTTGCACAGTAGGCACAGGTTGGTGTCTATCGCTCTTTCGAGCTGCTCCCCGTGCCTCGCGCTCCCGCGACCTCACCCCGCTCAGGCGCTTAGCCGCTCAGGTCACAATCAGCGCGTCGTTTAGCCGCTCTGCGCTCCTCCGCCGTTCAGCGCTCAGCGTTCCCCGATCCGCGAGCGAGCGAGTGAGCGAGCGCGAGTCCCCCACCAGCCTGCCGCGTCGACGCGGTGCCACCGTGTCGGCGCGGCAGGCTGGTGGCCTGGTGGGGTGGGGGACTTGTGCTCGCTTACCAGTTGGCTGATTGCATGCGAAGACGCACGCAAACGAGGCCTGCAACGACGCGGATCGCCTACATGCCAGGGGGAAGACGAATACTGTTTTACACCGTTACTAAAATTACATAAATATTTGCTCTCTGAATTGCCCGGCAGCGCTGTCTTCTTATTTTGGGTTTGCCAATATTAACGGTAGAAAAAAAGGAAAAATTGCCATTTGTTCCTTGATCTTTGAGGAACACGCAGCAGTTTCCCCCTTTTTTTTTCTACTGTTAATATTGGAAAACCCACAATACGAAGAAGACAGCGCTGCAGACAGCGCCGAAAAAACAGATAGGCTAGTCTTTCGGGCCAGCGAAACAGATAAGATATTGTTGCATGGACGCGTCGCATGGTTTCAGCCCGAAAGCGGGAGTTTTTACGCGATGGCCTGACTGTTTGATCTTCTTTATTTCCAGCCGTATTGTTCTGTGGAATTTTTACTGAAGACTGGCAACGTGGCGACAGTTCCAGTCCTTTGGGTGAAGAACAGGAGGTACATTAAGAAGGACGAAGGAGTAAGGGCTGTGCGGGGGAAGTGCTACTGGCCTCCTAAAACTGTCATGGTTAAGAAGCTGGGAGCCTTGGTTAATGGGCAAAAGAAGCCAGATACATCATCATGGACGACACACGAGGTTGAGGTGTTGCAGTATGCATGTAAGTTTAGGTTTCCTCGCATGTTTCACAACAGTCTATTAAAGTTGGCATGAGATAGTCATTGATCACACGTTCTTGTTTCAGTCACCGTAACGGAACGTGAGGCCTTCCAGAGGGCACAGTCAGGAGTCGAAAATGAAGGCATGGAAAGTGACGCTTCGAGCGACCACCCCTGTGCAAGGCAGAAAGAGAAGAAACTAAGGTCAAAGAGAGGGAAAGAGCCAGTCAGTAGCTCAGATTCATCAGACGATGAGCTATTTGTGACCGGGTTGGGCAAATTGCGGTCCAACCA